GAGGAAGGTTGAGAACCACTGCACTAGAGGGTATGAGAGAGACCTCCTACCTGCAGGCGTTGGAAGGGCAAGCGCCCACGGCCCCACCTGAGCTGGTGACCAAGAGCCCCCTGGACAGAGAGGAAAGGCACAAAGAGGGAGGACAGGAAGATCCCCGAGTAGAACGCAAGGGTCCATGCACCTCCCACATGGAGAAGAGTGAGACCACCAGGCTTGGCTCCCTGCTTCACCCACTGACATCTCCCCCTTCCCTTGCCCCTCCCCCAAGACTCCCAAGAGAAACCGGAGGCCAGGGTGGCAGGGCAGGCCCAAAATAACGCCCTGCTGCCAGGACCTCCCCCGGCCTCGGAGGCTTCAGCTGCTTCCCAGGCACAGCTGTCCCCAAACCCAGACCCCAGGCCCTGGCCCAAGCCTCTGGGACAGGATCGGAGGGGTCTGGGGCAGGGGATGTCTCCACCCACTGCAGACCCTCTGCTGCCAACAAGGGACATCAGGAAAACAACAACAAACTGCAGGATTTGAACCCGGGGCTGTCTGACTCTAAACCCGAGATTCCTTCCACTAGGCCCAAGTGCACGCACTCAAGCGCACGCAAACACGCACGCACATACACCCCATGCCCCATGCAACGTAAACAAACGGCGACTCCCGAGGGTGCCACCGGTAAACATTACAGGGCTCTGGCAGGGTGACCAGGCTGGGCAGGACTGAGGGATCAGAAACCTGGGAGCCCCACCCCACTAGCGAGTTTGTTTACCTGATTTCAGTCTGATTATGACTCTGAAAAGTGTTTGCAGACAGGTGGTAAAATTGGTACCCAGCGTCCCCTTCCCAAGGGTCTGGCTGGCTAAAACTGAGCAACTTGACCTGAAGCCAAAAAAGATGTTTTGATACTTTTTGATACTCCCGCCCCTCCCACTTCAATCCTCCCTACCGACTTCCCTCTTGCCCATCTTCCCCTCTGCGGTCCTCAGCTCCCATGGTCACCGGCCCATGTAGTCTCTTGCAGGGCAAGAAGTCCTAATTCTACCCGAAACGCTCTTTATTCCCAGGTCACCTGGACCTCCGGAGCCCCAACCTCAAGACAAAGACCTGGAGGCGGGCCCAGAGCAGAGCCAAGGTCTGGAGAGATAAACTGGAGCAGGGTGAGATGAAAGGAAGGTCCCTGAGTCGAGACAGGTCAAGGGCATGATGTCATCCTCCCTTGGAGGGGCTTGGTCAGGGTCCCTTGTGGCCCTCTGGCTGGATTTTGGTGCTCAGGGTCTGGTACCAACCTGGATGGGTTCCCTCCTCCCCACTCCCTGA